GGAGCCACCCGGGGGCCCCTTGAGGGACTTCTTTTATATATGTTGTAAATATTTTTCTCGATATTTTGGGAGGGTTCTATTAAGGTAATACTTAGGAAATTCTTTTAAACAAAACCAAAATAATCCCACATTTAAAAAATATTTTCTTAAATGCTTATACACACAGGCAAGTAGTGAAAGGGTTCATCTGCACATGTTTTCTTAGTTCGGACTTTTGCTGTGTTTGTTGAACCCTCCCCTTGTTACTAACCCAAGCTAGTAAACTTAGTTTGTCCCTTTTGTTTTTGTCCATTTCTTTCTGTGACTAATTCTAGCTTGCATATGTGGCTGTGCTGTGCCATCCAGACCCCTCTCCGCCTGCAATGGGGTTGACTGAGGTCTTCTTGCAACAGTACCGTACGGGAGCATCCCCTTCACTCAGTCCTTCCATCCCCCCATCAGCTTCTTGTGGGCGAAGCTCAGTCTGGTTCCCGGGAACCTGATCTGCTACAGTTGGTGCCAGGAGTGGTCTGAGCACATGGCAGTGTTGTGGTGTTTGACTGGCACTGATGACCATCACAGGTGGTAGGCAGACTAGGTCTGGCAGCAGTGCGGTTGCAACTTTGGGGATGGATGGTGTGGCAGACAATGGTATTGGTGGCTGTGGCTAGGAATAATAAATCCTTAGGAAAAAGACAAGGGCTGGGAGTGATTAGCGGTTAAAGGCTAAATGTAATCGGGGCTTCCCTGGTAGTCTACAAAGAGACCACTCACAGCCACAGACCAGTGCTTGGTCCTGAGACTTGGAGAGCTCTAGAGAAGGTTGGCTTCTCAGCCCAGGCAGGTGTGCTACCTCAAGGTCAGGGCCTTGATCAGGAAGAGGGACCAGACCCTGAGATCTGGCATGGGGACATGTGGGTCAGCATGTTCAAATCCTGAATCCCAGATGCCTCTGGGGCATGCAGAAGTGTCTACTCCTCTGTTAAGGCAGTGTCTCATTTTCCCACCATTGCTGAAGACCGTACGAATGCTTGTTGTAGAAGGAGGAATTTTTGCCTCCTTCTCTCCTGGCTGTTAAGTCAGCAGCCTAGCCAAGAAGGGCCAATTGGGCCTGTTGAAGCCCATGAGACATGCGACAGGTGAAACAAACTGTAGGGTAATTTGAACAGGGAAAGGTACAGCATGTTAGCTAGTAAGGGGATTAGCTACCAAGGAGTAAAGAACTATACACAGTAAAGCAGACAGAGCAGCTCCCTGAGGTAGAGGGTTGAAGGAATAAACAGTGGGAATGACTTGCATGTCATCCACTAGCCTGTCTGTCACCTGCTGTCCCAGTACAAGCACCTGGGGCTCTCGAGTGGCCATGGGGTGGGGTGGAGGCCTCGCCTAGACCCAACCGCTTGCGCTCGCACTCACCAGGGCTGATCTAGTTACTGCCTCTGCTGAGTGTCCAACCTTCCAATAACAGACCAAACACCATAGTAATAGCATCCTTTGAGGAAACAGTCACTTGGTGGCAAGTTGATGACACTGAACCTCTTGTCCCCCTAAGGGTGCATTGACCCATTCCAGGCATGGCTTTCCCTTTCCCGTTTGCAGGGCCTCAACCCTGTGATCCAAGGCTCAGAGCCTTTGATCCACTGACAGTCCCACAAGCATTGCATTGGACATGGGCACCCACTATACAGTAAGGGAGCTGCAATGGGCACGTGACTGGGACCCAAGGGTTCCTTCAGCCACACACCCAGCAACACCACCCTGATGGAGGAACCTGTAGCAGGTGCAGCGTGGAGGAGTTCCCTCCAGAGGGTGGTGTCCCCAGTATGTGTAATTAAGGGGCCTACAAACCAACAAGGGGATTTGGGAGTGGTCCGGCTTATCATCACTTCCAGGGCTACAGTCAGTACATCTGTCTCTCCCCCAATACCTCTGGGTTCTGCAGAATGAGGCTTTACTGTCAGAGGGGAAGTCCCCCGGGGCTACGGGAAGAATACCATTTAATTTGAAGCTGCAGCTGCTGCCTTGTCCTTTTAATAGTCTTAGGCCAAGAGATTGGCAGGCAGGGCGTGTGATCTGCACCCTGCTTGGGGTGCGTCCTGGTCATCAGAAGTCAGGGTTGCTGTTACATGATGGTGCAGGAGAGCATGCACTTGGTCACCTCTGTCCTCTGTCCAAATCTCATGGCCAGTGCAGTGACCATGGTAGCCAGGAGCTTACACCTCTCAGGGATGAGAGGTTTGGGTAACTCCATCGGTCGGGTAAGCCACCTAGACCAGCAGAGGTGCTAAGCCAGGTTGAGGGGATTCTAGAATGTGCATTAGAGCAGGGACACGAATCTCCTTTATAGCTTTGAGACTAGCTGCTATGACCAGGGAACACAGGTCATCCCATTAACCTTCCCTTTAAAAGTTTCCCCCAGCCAGAGGCCCACCAGAATCCTGAAGGAGCTGCTTTCAGAAACGTATCTGCAGCAAGTGGCTGGGAGCGGTGCGGTACAGCAGAGGACGGCATTGAGCCCTGTGGATGCCCAGGCTCCTGCACTAGCACCAAGCCATTCGTCACCCCACCAGCTAGGAGTGTCTGCCTGTCTGTCTGCTCACAACACAGCCTCTCCGGGTGGCTGTCTCAGCTGCACACTCCTTTCCCAGGGGCAACCGACACAATGACTGCTTGGTGCTGGCTTATAAAGTCCCGCCCCCTTGACCCACTGGGGGATAACTCTACAGGCCACCCAGGTCGCAAGCAGGCCTCTGAAGTGACGCCCGGTCCTCCTGTCATGCTCTTGTACACGTTGATCCTGAGAGCACTCCCCAGCAACCTTTCCAAATGCAAACCACTTCAGAGTCAGCCTCCTGGGGACCAGGCCTGTGCCACTGGGTGTGTATAGCATACATACAAAAATGGGGAGATTCGGTCATGGGTTGCAAAAATGAGATATTTTCACAGATTCTGCATCTACAAGGCAGCCAATAAAGCTCTAAGTCATTCTTTTCAGTGACTGTGTGCTTCATGGTGTAGATGTTACATAATTTATTCATCACCCTCTCTCTTGATTGGTATCTGCTTTGCTTTCAGTCCTTTGCCATAAACCAATACACTGCCATAGATGTATTGGTTTAGACCTATTTACTGTTGCATATGTTTTTATGAAACAGCCAATAGTGAGGTTGTTTGGTTAGATGATTTATATACTTCATACCTCTGTTTTTATTGAGGTTACACACACACACACACACACATACATACATACATACATTCTACACACAAAACACATACATTCTGAGTTCATAACTCTACATTTCACAAACCGAACACCCCTGTAACCTTCACGCAGATCAGGAAACAGAACATTAGTAGCAGCCTGGAAGCCTGTCTTTGCCCCCTTTGGGGCAGTCCTCTTGCCAACTCTCACAAATGATGCATGTTTTTAATTTCAATAGGTATTGACAGTTTGCTTTCCACGAAGATTCTAGCTATTCACATTTTTACCAGCAATGCCTGAAACTACATTTTCCATCCATTTCTGGTTGGTTCCCTGACCACTAGTGAGTTTGAGTATTATATCATGTTTGTTTCTTGGATTTGCTAATTTGTGTACTGCTTCTTCCTATCTTTTGCTAATTTTTAAAATTGAATTGTCTTTTTTTTTTTTTTGCCAGTGTTTAAGGACTCTCTGTAAAACACAGATATCATCCCTTTATCATGTTTCTTCCAAACGGTTTTCCCAGTGTGTTCTGCTCTTTAGAAGCAGTGCTGCTATCCCTATTTATTAATCTGTTGTTTTCTACTGGATTGAGATGCCATCTTTGTTCTGTAGTAGAGTCTCATAAAGCTTTGGGTCAGTTTCTGCCTTGTCTGTTCTGTTCTAGAAATCTTTTGACTCTTCCTATTTGAATGCAACGTGAATTTGATTGCAGGGGCTAAAGAGTATGTTCTGATAATCCAGCAAGGCGAGACTTTTATTGGTTTTTAACTTACTTTCGTGTCTGTTTTCAAATATTTAATATTTCATATGCACTTTGACATTTTTTCAATTGAAAGAGCTCTGTAGGGTCTCTAATTGGAATTGCATTAAATTTGTTTTTGGAAAAATTGGACATTTTGTGCCCATTTGGATGCTATGTCTTTCCATTTGTAGAGATCTAGTTTTATGCCACTTATATGAGATTTTAACTTTTCATCGAGTGCCTCATGCCTTTTCGTTAAATTTATCCTACGTTCTTTCTTTTCTTTTTTTTTTTTTTTTAGATTTTTATTTATTTATTTGACAGAGATCACAAGTAGGCTGAGAGGCAGGCAGAGAGAGGCAGGCAGGGAGAGAGGAAGGGAAGCAGGCTCCCCGCTGAGCAGAGAGCCTGATGCCAGGCTTGATCCCTGGGATCATGACCTGAGCCGAAGGCAGAGGCTTAACCCCTGCGCCACCCAGGCGCCCCTATCCTACGTTCTTTCTACTGCAAAGATTCCCGCTGTTTGCATTCCTTGGTTGTTATTGTTGCTGTAGAGGGAGCATAAATCACAGTGCTAAGAGCATGAACACCTGAGTCATGTTGCCTAGGGTTGAATGTGGTTCTATCACTTACTGTTCAGCCCAGGCTTACTAACATTAAAACAAAATTTAAAAGAGAGGTTTGTACTAATGATGCTTTACTGAACCTCTAATTGTTCCATTGCAATATTATTCATTATAGGAATTTCCTCAAACCTTTAATACTTTCAAGGTTTCCACAAAATGTTGAACTTGGGTTTTCAGACTCCAGTATTCAGTAGAAATACCAAGTAATAATTCTAATAAATGTGTCATGATTATGTGGTTCTGTCTCCAGATAATTTGAAGATATGTTACATAAATATTTATTGCAATGGTAGTATACATTTTGGGTCTGAATTTTATTTCACTGTTTTACGTAAGTAAATGATGAGTAAGTGACATGGTTGTAGAGGCCACTTTCAGTGTTTAGCTAATTATATGACTTAGATTCAATGTTTCTTTAATGCACATTTCCTTTTTGTGTTTTTAGAAGCTGCAGAAGTGGTAAACAGTTCCTGTAATGAGTATAGAGTACTTCTTGAAAATGAGAATCAATCACTGGAAAAAAGGGTAAATCATTGTAAATATGATTAATTCTAAATAACTTTCACTCGTTCAACACATGCTTATTAAGTGTCTAATGTATGCTAGGCACTGTGGCTACCACGCTTCCGAAAATCAAGAATGGAGTTCTTCTCCGGGAGCTCACAGCTGAACTTGCTGGATGGGGAAGGAAAGACACAAAAGTGCCATGACCCCACAGGATGGTGCATTGGGTGCCATGGTAGGGGTCAGTCCCAAGGACAGTAGGAGAGACCACTCACCCATTTTTGTGCTCTTTTTTTTTTTTCCTGGGTGGGAGGGGGGAACGTAGTCTGGGAATCTTCCTGAAGTGTGAAAATTCTGCCTGAGTCGACATCTACAGGATGATCAGGAGCCCCACCTTTAGAGAGTGGGAGGGGACTTGGCAGAAATGTTTAGGTTAGGAAGAAAGCTGGGGCTGTGGGACAGCTGAAATGCAGAGAAGTTTCAGAAGGAAATGGACACAACTCTCCATGGGTGAGCTGTGTCGTGTGGGCCTGAGGGGAGGGGAAAGAAGAGGTCATCTCACCAGAGACCTTGTACGGGAGACACAGTGGCCAAGAGAATAGGTTCTGGGGCAAAAACTGCTTGTGTTCGAAGCCTCGCCTAGCTCAGTCTGACTGAAACTCCCTGTCGTAAAGTGGGGATGGCAGGATCCACCTCAGGGTTAACAGGATCATGGTTTGCCCTGAAGCTGGGGGAGAGGCCAGCGAGATTTTTCTCTCCATGCTGCTCTGGCGTGGCCCTCCCATCACCGGCTTACCAACGTTTTGCTGCTTTTCTCACAAAAGAATTTCGAAAAGCGCATATACCTTATGACATATATTTTTTAAAGATTTTGTTTATTTGACACAGATTGAGAGAGCACAAGCAAGGGGAGGGGCAGGCAGAGGAAGAGGGAGAAGAAGACTCCCAGCTGAGCAGGGAGCCTGGTGCAGGGCTCGATCTCAGGACCCTGGGATCATGACCTGAGCCAAAGGCAGACGCCTAACAATGAGCCACCCAGGTGCCCCACCTCATGACATTTTTAAGTTGATATTTAAAATATTCAGAACAAGTTTAAAATGTTTCACAGTATATAATTCCTGGTGTATTGACAGCATTGACATTTAAAAATGATTACATTGTCATTAAAATAAAACCACTAGAATCTAAATACTGTACTCTGGTAGCTTAATACCCACAAGCATCCCTTTAAAAACAACATGAGCAAGATATTCTTCAGCAATCTAGATTTTTGTATTTCCTTTTTGCTCTTCTAACTCCTTTTCTTGTATCCTCTTCTGCAGAATTATTAACATAACTTTATGTTTCGAAGTCTTTTCTTGAAACCATGTAATATTTCTCTGTAATTAAAACAGGAGTATAAACTTAAATTTTCTGTGACCATATGCCAAATACTGAAACATTTTCCTCTGAAATTATTTTTAAAGTTCTATTAATTTACATTTGTTTAAAACAAATACAACACAAATCTGAAAAATAAGCTGTTAATACACATTTTATTCTAAATGGATACAGTAATGAGATGGGTAGAGATTCTTTTTTTTACCCTCGGTTTGTGAATTTATGAATGAATATTCCACAGTTCTAGATCAAGACAGGAAGAGGATTGCTGTTGAGCTATAGTTTTAAAAATGTTAGTAAACAGAGGAACATATTATCAAATAGTTGTGGTGATTTCATTTGTTCTGTAAGTGGCCTTTACCTGGAAGTTGTAAATCACTCGTCTTGAGCGTTGGGCGCATCTGAAACATCCTCCCATCCATGGCACCTATCGTTACGTGCTCCGGTATGGCTAGAGACTTCTGGGACTCCTATTTACTCCAGCCCGTGGTTCAGATACACACTTCTACCTGGGCTGAGAAAAATTACTGCTCTAGAGCTACTATATCGTTTCCTTAGAAAGTGTGATTACAGATAATGTGAAGCTTGTCCCCACTTTACCTTAGACAAAGCTTACCAGAAATTAGTTTGGTTTATAGATCTGTCTTAAGAATCTACATTCTAGTGAAACATTTCATGTTTTTCTACAGAATCTGAATTCCTCTACAAGCCAGGCGTCAGGCGTGTCCATCAAGCTCTGTCTTCCCACCTCTAGTATCAGATTCACAGATCAGCCATCAGCTGACCGAAACCAGAACATCAGCTCATTGGCTCCTCCCAGTTGTTTCATTCCACAGTGTAACCAAGAGGCTTCAGTCCTACAGAAAACAGAGTGTAAAAGAAAGCATTTCCTAAAGGAAAATAAAAATAATGAAGAGAAAGAAATGCCCATGAATCTTAAAAGAAAATGTAGTACATGTCATTTTTCAGGGAAAACAAGTAAACATGTAGCATTGGAAGAAGATGCTGATGAGGTTGAAGCCTACTTACACTGTGGGAATGCAAGGGCATGTGGAGACCATTTTTGTGACATTAGGTATTTGGATGATTTGGAGAAAAGCCAGCTGGTTGAGATGCTCAAACAGGCAGTGGCCATGGTCATAACGCTGATATATGAGGACGGTTCAACCCAGCTAAGAGCTGAGCAGGTTAGTGAACAGTGTTGGGTTTTGTTTGTTTCTTTGGCACCATAAAAGAACCCCGTTTTCTTAGTGTCTGATTTTGATAAGAGAGCTATGAATAAGATTTGAAGCCCCCACCCGCCCAGGGCTGAGTGACTGGTAATGCATAGTTCTCTTCAGATTTTTAAGAAGCTGCCAAAATGTCTTCCAGAGTGGGGATGCCTTTTTAAGCATTCCAGCAGCAACACGCCAAGGTTCCAAGCCCTCCACCTTCTTGCCAATCCTTGTTGTCTGTCTGGTTTTAGCCGTTCTAGTGGGTGTGAAGTGCTATTTCACTGTGGTTTTAAATCGTATTTCCCTAATAACTAATTACCTTGAACATCTTCTCATGTGCTCTGTGGTGAAATGTCTGTTCAGATCTTTTGCCCATTTTTAAATTGGGTTATTTGTGTCTTATTTTGGATCTGTAAGCCTTCTTTCTATATTCTGATATGAGTTCCTTGTCAGGTCTGTGATTAGTTCCCCAAATCTGTGGCTTATTTTTTTCAATTTCTTACTCATGTTTTTTGAAACACAAAATTTAAAAAATCCGATGAATTCCAATTTACCAATTTTTTGTATTGCTTGCACTTTTGTTTTATATTTAAGAATGCTTTCCCTATCCCAGATCTTAAAGATTTACTTTTGTTTTCTTTTTTTTTTCAAGATTTTATTTATTTATTTGACAGACAGAGATCACAAATAGGCAGAGAGGCAAGCAGAGAGAGAGGAGGAAGTAGGCGCCCCGCCAAGCAGAGAGCCGGATGCGGGGCTTGATCCCAGGATCCTGGGATCATGACCCCAGCCGAAGACAGAGGCTTTAACCCACCGAGCCACCGAGGCACCCCTACTTCTGTTTTCTTTTAAGAATTTATGGTTTTCACTCTTCCGTTAAAATCTGTGGCTCGCTTTGAGTTCATTTTTGTGTGTGGTGTGAGATAAGGGGCACAGACCGGCCTCTTGTGTGTTGAAATTTATTTATTTATAATAGAATAGGGGAAAAGAGCACATGTGTGCACACGTGTGGGGGTTGGAGCAGAAGGGGAGAGAGAGAGAGAAAAAGAAAGAATCTTAAACAGGCTCCACACCCAGCATGGAGCCTGATGCGGGGCTCAGTCTCACAGCACTGAAACCATTACTTGAGCCGAAGTCAAGAGTCAGACACTTAACGGACTAAGCTACCCAGGCACCCCCGGTAATATATTTTTTTTAGAAAAAGATCAATTTTACATGTTCACTGAGAGTGTGTAGAAATACAATTGATGTGTTTTAATCTTGTTTCTTGCAACCTTGCTAAACTCTCATATTGGTTCCAGGAGTTTTTTGTTAATTCCTTTGGTTTTTTTGTTGTTGTTGTTGTTTTAGAAAGATCACAAATAGGCAGAGAGGCAGACAGAGAGAGAGAGGAGGAAGCAGGCTCCCCGCTGAGCAGAGAGCCCGATGCGGGGCTCGATCCCAGGACCCTGAAATCATGACCTGAGCCGAAGGCAGAGGATTAACCTACTGAGCCACCCAGACGCCCCAATTCCTTTGGGTTTTTATGCAGACATTTGTGTCATGTGTAAATAGGGATGGTATAGTTCTTCATTTCTGATTTATATGCCTTTTATTTCCTTTTCCCATTGTGTTACACTGGCTAAGGCTTCTGTTATGATGTTGACTAGGGAGGAGACCAGATTTGAAGAGTAAGATCATGGGTTTGGTTTTTGGCCTTGACTGTCATTATGAGAGCTATTTATTTACAAATTTAATTGTAGACCTTTTCTCTCTGTTTAATTGTAAGACATACCTTTCTTGAATAAATACATTGTGTTTAACTTGAAACTGTATTTGTATTCACAGGCTCTGGCTCCCTCTGTTAAAGGAATTGCAGTGTTACTACAGAGCCGTATAAACGGCAGCGGTCTTCTGGAGGTCTCAGCCTCTAACAGTGTCCTGGGGGAAGGCCTCACACTCCATGAGCAGTATATCTACCTTGAAACAGAGCAGTCCTCCACTGGGGGCCGAGAGCAAGAAGCATATAATCAGTTTGCCAGGTCAGAAATCTCCTCCCACTGCCTTACTTCCTGCATACATGTCTGCTTCGTTGGGTCCAATTGAAAGTCTCCCAAGCTCGAATTATTTAAAATTTAGAAGTTTTTTATGGGTACGTGAAAATAAAATGGATCTAAATGACAGAAAGCTCTGCACACACTGGCCTGCTTTCCCTCAGAGAGCTTCTGGAATAAAGGGTCTGTCCTTCCATGGGAGCCCCTCCAGGATTTGAAACATCTCAATGAGAAGTTAGTGAGAAAAGGTTGGTCCCAAGGCCTGAAGATCTGCTGCTGTGACCACAGTCCCAAATGATTTTCCTTATCTCACTGCCTTACAGTGTTAGAAAGTAAATTGTCCTCAGTACCACCTAATTTCATGCTAGTTTCAAAGCTTCATTCTGTGGAAATAGTTAGGATATAGCTCACTTGGACCTGCCCCTTTAGAATGGGACAATTTTTTTAAAGATTTTATTTATTTATTTGACTGAGAGAGGGAACACAAGCAGGGGGAGAGGGAGAAGTAGGCTTCCTGTGGAGCAGGGAGCCCAACGTGGGGCTCAATCCCAGGACCCTGGGATCACGACCTGAGCAGAAGGCAGATACTTAACAACTGAGCTACCCAGGAGCCCCTAGAATGGGACAATTTTAGAATGAGCAGGATGTTTGAGCTGCCGCGTTGCGATCCTGAAAAGCCCTGTTGTGGATTCCAGCCACTGCCCTCCTCACAGCTCTTAGCAGGAGTTGTCAGCCTGAAGGGGTTTCTGTCTTGGGTGGGGACATCCACTTCGGGCCTACCCAGCCCTCCGAGTCCCAGCCCCTTAGCTGCTTAGTGGGAGATCCTCGAAACTGCTGTCTGGAAGAGGGGTTCACGGGGCCTCAGGGCCTGGGGTGAGAAGATGGGGTCTGGGCCTGGCCCTGTGGGCCTCCTACAGTCTCACTGGGCCATGGGGGAGTTGTAGGCAGTTGCGGCATCAGTGTTGTCTCGGTGAGGAGTGCCAGGGGCCAGTGCTGTGGCTGGCCCAACCCTTAGAGTTCTTAACATCACAAGACACAATTCAGCAAAAACCATCAGGGAACTCTGAGGAACAAGATTCATTACTCACAGGCCCTAGAGGGTACACAGCACACCAGGGGCCACACAGCAAAGTCATAGCTAGAGAAAGAGAGGGTGCAGGCCTGAGGCTTTGCCTTTAGTACAGTGTGAGGATGGGGGTCTGGGAGTTTCAAGGTTTTACTTTTATTGGCTAATAGAAGTCCTAAAAGTGGGAGTTAGGGTTCAGGAAGGGAAAAGCAAGATCAGTCACAGGTCAGGTGTCTAGATGCCCCTGGCCTATCTGGAGGGGGACCTTCACAGGTGGGGGTGGCCTTGTTCCTTGTTTGGGTGTTTTGCCAGTGGCTTGTCATACAGCAGGCAATATGGATGTCTTTTGAAATGAGTGCCTCAACAATCATAAACTTAACATCAGGCACCTGTACTGCAGTAATTTTTGGTGAGAATGGGACAACATATGACTAATAGAGCAGCCTGCTTGCAGGAAACCCATAGCCTTATTATTTTTTTTTTTTAAGATTTTATTTATCTGACAGAGAGAGATCACAGGTAGGCAGAGAGGCAGGCAGAGAGAGAGAGAGAGAGGAAGAAGCAGCTCCCTGCCCAGCAGAGAGCCCAATGCGGGACTCGATCCCAGGACCCCGAGATCATGACCTGAGCTGAAGGCAGAGGCTTAACCCACTGAGCCACCCAGGCGCCCCACCCATAGCCTTATTTTTACACTGTTCTCTTTTGAAAGAGCAATTAGGCAGGCCTATTCTGTGGAAGACCTCCGTGGGAATAGTCCTAATGTTTGGACGGCCTTTTCTGAATTCTGGATGTATGTATCCCACTCAGTGCTCTTTACTTGGACATCTGACAGTCCTCAACATGTGCAAAACAACTCCTGTCTTCCTGAAACCCACCTCCGACAGCCTTTGTGGTCAAGGTTAATGTCAGCATTTGCTCTCCATGAGCTCAGGCCAATAGTCTTGGCATTTTCTTTAACTTCTCTCTTATTTTCATCCAAGCTCTTAGTACACCCCACTGGCTCTGCCTTCACAGTACAGCTAGCAGCTGACCGCCCTTGCCCTCTGCTGCTCCCACGTGGTGCAGGCCTCCCCTGCTCCCCCTGACACTGAACCAGGCAGGGGCTTCCCAAGGGCCTGCTGCCTCCACCTGCCTCTTGGCCTGTTTTCCACCCGGCTCCCAGAAAGGGTTTGCGCATTAAGTCAGGGCACATACTCCCTACTCAGAGCCCTGCGACAGCTCCCAACGATGCCTGCAGGTCTGCCCATGGGCCCTCCCCAGGCCTGGGAGCTCCTCTTCCCCTGCTCTCACTGCACCCCAGCCTCCTTGCTCTCCCGGAGGGACTTCCTTGTGCCACTCTCCCCCAACCCTGCAGTCTGCTCCCAGGGGTCCACAGGGTGTGCTGCCCCATTCCTCTAAATCAAAAACCCCCCAAAAACACAAAAAAGCAAACTATGAAAACTTGAGTCTAGAGACAGGAGTGTAATGAGCCCTGTATACACACGCATTCGGACCAAACAGTTACCAAAGGTTTTTCTGTGCTTCCTTCATCGACCCCTTTTCGAGGAGAGGGGTAGGGAACAGAGATTAGGGAAAATCCCAGACAGTTGTTTTAGCTACCAGGGCTCAGGAGGCAGCTCTAAAACACCTGGGCTCTTCTTCACCTGGACACAATGCTGTTCTCAGACTTAGCAAATTTAATACTCAGTCCACATTTCAGGTTACCTGAATGTTTTTAAATGTCCCCCTACACTCGATCTACTGGGATCAGGACCAGCACAGTCACGTGTGCCATTTCTTGTCTCCGACCTCTGACCCCATCTTGCAGGAGGCCCCATGTCCTGGGCTTACCTGTTTTGTGATTGTGGGGTTCCTTGCCTGTTTCCCTTTCCTCCATATGTCTATAGACTAGATCTTCATCCTGCAAGCCCCATTATCCTGCTCCAGCTCTTGTCTCGAGGGCACTTCCCCGGGTGGTGCTGCCCACCTCATGCCCCATCTGTGGTGCAGCTGGATGGTCAGATTTAGCAAATAAAAATGCAGGATGCTAAGTTTGCATTCCAGATAAACAATTTTTTAGTATAATTATGTCCCAAGTGTTGGAAGAAACATTCTTACACTACAGGCATACATCTCTAAAAAAATTTCTATATTTTTTCAGATAAAAATTTTATCTACGATTTTTCTGAATGTCACATTTGGCTGGGTGCCCTGCCCTTGATCTGGCTACGTTTTGCGATGAAGTCATGTTGTCCTCACATCTGTAACGTTCTGATGGAGCCGTGGGCTGAATGGTGTCAGCGTGCTCTCTCTGTTGTGAACGTCCCCATGGTGGTCGTTGAAATCGCTTTTTAAGTACTCCCAGAAGATGGTGATTTTTTCTGTGTTTATCATTTCTTCCACATGTATCGGGTAAAATTTTCTGTAGAGAACTTTCCCTCTTCAAGAGGACTTTTGTTCTCCTTACCCCTCAAGTCTTCCCTGTGGTGTTACAGCATGGTCCGCGGGCCTTCCCTGCTCACTGTGCATAGCAGTGCTCCCCCACCCCGCCCCGTGCCCACCGCCCACATCCCCGCTGAGGTGCATGTGTGCAAAACGCCGCCCCCGTTGCCAGGGATTTTTATGTCTTGCTCATTCCTGTGTCTCCACAAGCCAAGGACAATTTGTGAAGCGTGTGCTTCACAAATATTTATTCAGTTGTATTTTTGGATTAATGAATATTAAGGTTTAACTTTTGTGAGTTCCAAGACAATTATATGAAGACATGGTTTCACATACCATAAAATTGGAAGTAATAATCCCAATTCCATGATAGTATGTTGGAGATTTAAAATGAATTTAAATAGGGGCCTGGGTGGCTCAGTGGGTTAAAGCCTCTGCCTTCGGCTCAGGTCATGAGCTCAGGGTCCTGGGATCGAGCTCCGCATCCGGCTCTCTGCTCAGCAGGGAGCCTGCTTCCTCCTCTCTCTCTCTCTGCCTGCCTCTCTGCCTACTTGTGATCTGTCTGTCAAATAAATAAATAAAATCTTTTAAAAAAATAAAATAAAATGAATTTAAATAAATCACATTTAAATGAAAACACATAACTTTTTTATACAAAATGTATCGAATAGCATTTATTGCAAACCCATGCAAGGTCTTCGTACACACCCGCAGTCTCTTCGTCTTCACATTAACTGTACATGTTGGGTCTTGTTAGTTCCATTTTATAGATCATGGAACTGAGACTCAAGAAATAGCCTTTAGTCAGTCTTGAGCTTTCCACTCAGGCTTCCTCTTTTAGACTCAAGTCTAGCTTTTTTTATATTCTGGCTGCCTTTTTGTTTGCAAACATGACACAATCGACTTCCATAACTGACTTACAAAACACACTGTGTTTCAGCCACTTTGTCTTATAGGATGCTCTTTTTGTTGTTTGTCTTACCTTGAGATAGAAACCACTAGCCTGCATCTCTTACTAGTGGGCGATCCCGCAATTCTTAGGTGACCTGAGTAGGGACTCTGCAGCAAACAAAGGCATCAGTGTGGAAACGCAGCTTTTCGCACCTGAAATCTTCCAGCCCCTCTCCCCTCTCTCCTCCCTGCACCCTTCCAAGTCTGTAGAGCCAGACCCTCTGTCCTCCCTACCGGCCGGGCCCCCTCTTCCAGGGAAACCCCCATGAAACCACACAAGAAAATGCCAATGCCCGTGCAGCAGGCAGAACAGAATCTAACCTCTTACCCTCTGTCGGCTCTGTGTGCAGAGCTGAGTGGGCTCCTGCTTTCGTTCTCCCTCGGCCTCATGCAAGACCCTCATTAATGTACGAATACAGAGTTCCTATAAAGGAAGATTTATAGTGCGGGTCCTGGCAGCAGCAAGATAGGGGCTTGCTGTGAAAATTGTTTAGCCACTCTGAGCCTCAGTTTCCTTGTCTGTAAAGTGGACCTAGTGCCTGCCTAACAGGGTTGTGCTGAGATTTCAGTGTTAGCAGCCCTTTGAAGTGTTTTGCATGGTGTCATGGTTAGTGCTATAAATGATGACTCTTAAGAATCCCATATCCGAGGAGCTCACGGTGCTATGGGGCAAGCCTACTTTCAAGGTAAATTACATACAGATGTGGTCCTGGCTGCGGCTGGTACATGAACAGGAGTAGAGAAGGAACAGAAAAGGGGCAACCCCCTGCGTGCGAAAGGGGCAGTTTGCAGAAATCGCAGGAGGAGAATTGCAGGCAAGAATGCAGCATGTGGTGTGGCCCCATACTGTGAGAGGATGTGGCACTGTGTGCTGGTAGAGGAAAGACAATTCAGTGGGAGCAGAGGGCAGAGTGTTGGGAGCATGTGCTGGGAGAGCAGGCTAGAGAGCCATGCTGGGGAGCCTGTCAGGGGTCCAGAGTGTATATGCTCCAATCAGGAATGCGAGATGTGACTTTCCGCAGGGATGGGCTCTGAACAGCTGGGCGGCCTGTCTGTCTCAGCTTCATCATCTCTAAGTGCAGAGAAGTAACACCTTCCCACAAGATCCCAGTTAATCTCCATGAGCATCTTCGAGGAGTGTCTACATGGTAGTACTAGCAAGTGATACCTGTCAGTAGAGCAACAAAACTATTTTTCTCTAAGGTCAGAAATTCTAAATTAATGTCTGAATCAGTGACTTTCTTTTCATCTTCCAGGAAAGTTCTGTTTCAAATGCTGAAATGTAAATGTCCTGTTATTTGTTTTAATGCCAAGGACTTTGTGCGAACAGTACTACAGTGTTTTGGTAATGATGGCAGCTGGAAGCATGGTAAGTTTTAGTTTTTATAATCTCTTAAATTGAACTCTCCAGCAGTGATTCCTCCTGAGAATGAGACATGGGGGAGGCAGGGACGCACAACTCTGGGGGCCTGGCCACGTGGCTCCAAAGCCCCAGCTGTGCAGCCTTGTGCCCCAAGGGTGAGGGGGCACTTTCCCTCTGTGTTTTAGGTTGTTTGATTTTTTGCAAATATATATTACTTTTTAAAATTTAAAATAAGAAAGAAGTGACTTATGCAGCGTGGTCAGATGGGGTGTGTTGTTACTATAAATAGCTTATAAACTCCCTTCGAATTAAACTAAAGTCTAAGGGCACCTGGGTGGCTCAGTCAGTTGGGCATCTGCCTTCAGCTCAGGTCATGATCTCAGGGTCTTGGGATTGAGTCCTGAATCGGACTCCTTGCTCAGCAGAGAACCTGCTTTTCCCTCTGCCTGCTGCTCCCCCTGCCTGCTGCTCCCCTGGCTTGTGTGTGTGCTCTGTCTCTGACTAATAAATAATTAAAAAAAAAGAAAAATAAGTAAAGTCCAGGCACATGAAAAGATCCTCAACATCACTCATCATCGAAACCACAGTGAGATACCACCTCATACCTGTCAGAACGGATGGAATCAACAACACAGGAAACAACAGGTGTTGGTGAGGATATGGAGAAAGGAACCGTCGTGCACTGGTGGAAATGCCAGCTGGTGCAGGCAGTGTGGAAAACAGCACAGAGGTTCCTCAAAAAGTTGAAAATAGAGCTACCCTGTAACCCAGCAGTTGCACTACTGGGTATTTGTGCAAGGAATACAAAATACTAATTCAAAGGAACTCATGCAGCCCTAAGCTTATAGCATCATTATTTACAACAGCTAAGGTACGGAAGCAGCCCAAGTGTCCATGGAGAAGATGTGGTGTAGCTACACACCGTGGAATAGTACTCAGCCGTGAAAAAGAATGGACTCTTGTCTTGTGCGATGATGTGGATGGAGCTAGAGTATCATGCTAAGTGAAATCAGTCAGAGGAAGACACATACCATATGATTCACTCCTATGTGGCATTGAAGAAACAAACAAGCAAAGGGGAAAAAGAGACAAACTGTAGAAGACTGCTTATAAAGTTTTCTTCAAAAACTCAGAAAACTGAGCCGAAGGCAGATGTTTAACCGACTGAGCCACCCAGATGCCCCTAGACTTCAGCTTAATTCGTAGGGAATTTATAAGCTATTTATAGGAAAAAAAAAACAGGAGAGAGAATATATAGATAAAGAAACGGGTGCCTGGGTGGCTCAGTGGGTTAAGGAAAAAAAAAATTGTTTTGATTGTACAAAATTTCCAACATGTACAAAATTACCTGTGATACAATAAGAAACATATATTTAGTCTTTGTCCCTGCTTCCTGGCACATGGTTTCTAAGACCCTTGCAATCCCCAGAGTGCTAAGAGTGTCTTTTGTGTGCTAATGAGAGGACTAGGAGCTGGGGACCACTAGTCGGCTTTGGGATGGGGCAGTGGACGGAATGACCACGACATGCTTAGTCAGTTGGACTTCAAGTTCCCCACCCCCACCCCCAGGGACAGAGAAGGGATGGAGAGGTGCTCTATCTCAGTGGCCAGCGATCTCATCAGTTGCATCCGGGCAGTGGAACCTCCATAAACAGCCCCCGCACAGGGGATATTGGGGAGCTGGAGGGCTCCCAGGTTGGGGAGCATGTCTGGGGGCTGGGCAGGTGAGAGCTCTGTGCCCCCTGCCTCCCACCTTGCCCTGCGTGTCTCTTCCGTCTGGATGATCCTGAGTTGTGTCCTTCATGATACACGGGTCATGAGTTAGTACAGGTGCTTCTGTAGTTCTGCGAGCCTGAGCAGGAGGTCGTGGGAACCCCAGTTTATAGTCAGTGGGTGGGAGGTACGGGAGGCATCTGAAGCAGGTGTGGTCTTGTGAGGCTGAGTCCTCAGCCTACAGGTTCTGCACTCACGGTAGCCAGTGTCAGAGGGGCGCCAACTGTCAGATGCCCTCGCTGGGCGCCAGAGGTGGTGTTGGAAGGCAACATGTTACCCATCGTCCAGCTTCAATAGTTTCCAGCTTATGTCCAGTCTTCTTTTCTCTGTATCTCCTCACAATTCCAAACCCCTGCCTCCTGGGTTAGTTTGTAGCAGATTCCAAGCATCTTACGATTCATCTGTAAATATTTCAATTATGTGATGGAACATGAGGGTTTCATTTTTAAAATGATGCAGTCATCATCTCCTCCAGATTAGTGATAACCTTCCAGCGTTACTAGATATCTGGTCAGTGTGTGCACTGCTCCCCTTGTCTTTAAATATCGTTTGTGTTTGTTTTTATTTTCTTATGGTTTGTGTGACTTGGGATCCAAACAAGAGTTAGGGTTAGGTTACCCTGAAGCTGGGATATGTGTGATATGCTTCTTGTTTCTTTATCTCTCTCTCTCTCTCTCTCTCTCTTTTTTTTTTTAGTGGGAGAGAGAATTTTTTTTTCTTTTAAGATTTTATTTATTTATTCGACAGAGAAAGAGAGAGATCACAAGTAGGCAGAGAGGCAGGCAGAGAGAGAGGGGAGAAGCCGACTCCCTGCTGAGCAGAGAGCCTGATGTGGGACTTGATCCCAGGACCCTGGGATCATGACCTGAGCTAAAGGCAGAGGCTTTAACCCACTGAGCCACCAGGCACCCCTCTCATTTCTTTTTTTATATCCCTCTTTCCCATCATCTGTATCACATCAATTGCCTTTGTGTGTTACCAGTTCAGCTTTTACTTTTATTTTTATTTTTTTCAGTTTTTATTTATGAATTTTTTTGTTTTATTTCCTGAACCCTTTCATTTCTTTATTCAATTCTTATTTTTCTAAGTCCCCTCATTTCCAGGTATCTGTAGTTCTGATTTATTTGTTTTTCATTGCTTTTATCATTTTCTCAGATTTTCTTAGCTCTTTTTAAATCTTTTTGGCCTTTTTCTTTCAACTACTGGCATTTTCTCCTCTGTGTGGGGACTTGTCCTGGGGGCTTGAGGAGGTGAGGCAGGGGAGTTGACAGGAACCAGCCCCCAGGCCCTTCCCGTGCCATCACACCTTCCCCAGGAGTTTTCAAGAATGTTAGCAGGGCCTTAATTTTGGGCCATTAGAGCTCTGAAAAGGCAAGCAGAGTGAACTAGTCTACCGGGTCAGTTAGCATGGCCACATAGTGTTGGGTCAGACCATGGGCAGCCAATGTGGGTGCAGGTCCCAGAGCACTTGCCCATGTTGTTCCAGCCAAGGTTCCAAACCTGCCAACGTCGGGGACTTCCCAGACATCAAATAAAGAAGTCACAATACCAGATGCATTGGCAAATAGAAGTCTCTTAGCACAATTTAAAGATGCCAAAGGATATAATATTTAGTGTGTTGTGATCTAAGACTACAATTTTGTTTGAAAGCAAACTCCTTGTTTTTATGTAACATTATTCAAAATGTTTAAGTAATTTGGGGTACCTCGATGGCTCTATTGGTTGAGCATCCGAGTCTTAATTTCAGCTCAGGTCATGATCTCAGAGTCCTGAGTTCAAGCCCCGGATTGGGCTCTATGCTCAGTGCAGAGTCTGCTTGGGATTCTCTCTCTCTCTCCCTCTACCCCTGCTTGTGCTCTCTCTCTCTCTAAAAATAAATAAATAAATCTAGAAAATGTAAAGCAACTTAAAAACACAGTTGCTTAGAATTTAGATTCACCTCTCAGTTTATTAGTTCCCCCCTTTTATAGCTTGCCTGTCCATGTTTAAAATACTCTGGCACTAAAACTTACTTAGCAAATGTCGTTTTTGTTTTTCACAAAGCATCTTCCCATATGTCTCACAGAGATGTACAGTAACCTCTTCCCTGGGTTTTTGGATAAGAAATCTAGTACTTAGGGGCAGTGACAGCCCAAGCTCCAGGGGTGGTATTGTTTTACACATCCCATTGCAGCAGAGATCTGGGGGGGGGGGGTGTCTCTCAGGTTTTCCTCTTATCAGGGGAAATGCCCCAAATGCCAGGCATCTCTGTCCTCACATACACTGCCCACTGCTCCACACCCCTGAGCTCGGCAATGAGGACACTTATGCTCTTTCTTCAGCTCACAAGACTTGGGCTCCTGGACACCCTGAAGAGGGGTTAGGAGCACCTAGGAAGACAGCCCAGTGAGAGGCACAAGGTTGGAAAGCTGGGGAGCAGGGGCGGGGGGCTGGTGGGGGAGAGGAGGCCAGAAGAGTACTGAAGGGTTCTCATCACCACCTCTGAACATTTGTGAGAGGTCCCAGTTCCACGTTAGTTTAGTCCCCCTCTTTGGCTGTCTGGGGTCAGTTCCCCACGGGGATTGCCTGTGTGGGACCTAGGTCGTGGAGGCTGCTTGTACCAAAGGCTCTGAGTTCCTCAGGAATGGTTGAGCATCATTTTGGCACTCAGCTCCATAACTAGATGGCAGTGCTATTATTATTATTTTGACCCTTGAGAAAAGGATGCTTCTTCGGTTCTTTTGGAGTGATTAAATGGCCTTTTTCTTTGTAGTTGTTCATTTTGTAGGGCTTGATCCCAGAATTGCTGCCTGGCTTATAGATCCTGGGGATGCTGCACCCTCTTTTGAAGATTTAGTGGCAAAATACCTTGAAGGCTCCATCTCTGTTAACGTGAACAGCACATATGGGAATTCCTCCAGAAATGTTGTGGTGAGTTGTGTTAAGATCAGGGTTTACCAACTTAGTCAACCTGAATTTTTTCCTTGAAACTTCTTCCACTTCATATAGTCCTGTAGTAAAAAGAACATTGCTGACATTCATTTTCACTTATTCTGCACAAATGCTTTTTACTCTGATGCTTCTGGTGGAGGATACTGAATTAGGATGGGTGACTTCTGTTCCTTCATGGAACTAACTCCCTGTCTATTCACAGCAGGATTCTTCTAAAAGGACTCTCTGGGGTCAGCAAGCCACATGCTCTGGGTCCATGAGCTGCTCGTAGTGCTGGTGGCCCGGCCACCACACAGAGGCTCTGGCCACACCTCACTCCATGTGTCCAGGTGGGTCTTCCCAAGGCCTGTCCTGAAGACACACCGATTTGTTAGGAACTGCATCTGCAGAAGCCATGGTACTCATGGCTCTGGAGCAAAGTCCCCGAGGAGGGGACCCCCAGTTGGGCCACTCTGTTGAGGCTTCCTGTGTGCAAATCAACAGCAACACGCTAGACACACCAGTGGGTGAGTGTACAGGGGCTCAGGGAGCACAAGTACTGGCTGTGGGCTGGGAACCACTGGGGCAGAGTGGCTGGTGAGGTGAGGGCCCTGAGCCTCTGCAAGGTCTGCTCACTCCTGCCCTTCATCCTGTGCCATCTGTGAGGGAGGGTCTGAGTCAGATGGGGACTTGAAGGTATAAATGCAGAAACTAACTCCCCCTTAATTTGAATACGTGTCAGAGGAATATGGGGGAGCTCACAGACTCAGAGGGAAAGCAGTAGCAGGCCGCAAAAGACACGAGCCCTCAGGCCCCAGGCCCAGCAGTGAGCCATTTGTCACTTTTGTTGAAGACCCACAGGGAGTTCCCTCACTGTGCCACATGTGTGCCCTTTGGCGGGGGTGTAGGACATGAAGGTGAGTTCTATTGATCATATGATGCTGGGAGGGGAGCTTCCTCAAATGGCAGCCGAGACACTATCCCTGAAATAGGGATGTGCCCACCTCCACACTACCAGTTCCAGTTTATAGAGGAGAAGACCAAGGTGCAGAAAGGTCAATGTGCATGCACATTGCCCAAAGTCAAGTTGAGGCTGTGGTTCAAAGTGTGTGTTTCTGACTCTAAAGTCTAGTTTCTTCCTAGTGCATCTGGGGATGGGAATAGCCACAGGGAACAGAGCAGCAGCCACAGAGGTGTTTTCTCCCTGTCAAGGAGCCAGGGCCCCGCACCCAGGCTGGAGCAGCTGCTGATGGTGCTGGGGACCCTGCCCGTCCCACCACTGCCCGTGTGCCATTGCCTCACCCAGGGCCCTCAGCACACTGCAGGAAGAAAAGCAGCAGCCTCTATGAACTCGCACTTGAATCTCTTGACTTGAAATGTGTCCACTGTGAAGGCCTGCAGTGTGTGAGGGGTGGGAGGGGAGAGCCAGGCCCACTCTGTGCTGGCTGAAGAGGTGACGGGAATTATCTGGGAGAATGCAGGGGGAGTCTGGGCCAAGGGAGCAGCACGGGAGCTGGAGGGAAGGGTGAGGTTGCGAAGGAAGGTGTTGGGCAGGGGGTAGCTGTGTCAGGGGCTCTTTCAGGAAGGTGCTGGTTCCCCTTGGAGCTCGGTCTTGTCCTGGCAGAGCCCCGGCTGGAGAACCATTCATAGTGGGAGGCTCATTATGAGGTCTGTCCTGTGGGAAGCTCTTTCGGGCAGGAGTAGACATTCTGCCCCAAGACCAGTCATGCATGAGAGCTAAGGCTGGGGATGAGGAGAGTGCAAAGGCCAGACTACATCAGCCCACTGCTGGCTCCTCATCCTGGGGTTTCTCTGGCTTGGGGCCTTGAGGCCAAAAGTGGAGTGTGGGGAGTTGTTGGCAGAGCGAGTTACCTGGCAAGGAGAGTCCAGCTGTGTGTCACGGGCTACAGCCCTGATCATCCACGCTCAGGCCTCTGGGGCTGACGTCTGGGTGAGGACGGATGCTGAGGGTGGCCACGTGGCTCCTCAGCCTACTGGGGCACGTGGCGGGTACGCGTCTGTCTCTCCCACTGTGTGATCTTTGCACCGTGGACACTCTGCAGTTCCTGCAAAATGAGGAAAAAACCGGGTTTGGGGAAGAGGCTCCAGGTAGCTTGCACTTGCCTGGTAAGAAGGCTGTTGTGTAACGTGGGAGCTTGCTCACGGGAGGTATTTGGTGAGGCTGCTGACGAGTCATGTCTGCCATGGAAAGACTTATGCCACCTAGCTAGTGCCCATTTCTGTGGGTTGTGTCCCTCCTTGGATTTCGATGAACATTGCTGCAAGTTTGCCTAATCTTTCATTCTTTTTGATCTTTTAAAGAATCAGAATGTACGTGTGAACCTGAAGACACTCTACAGACTTACGATGGGCCTTTGCTCCCAGCTGAAGGCAAGGCATCTCGTTGTAACTTGGGGTCGGCAGGCACTCTTGCTCACTGTTGCATCTTTCACTCCCATCCATGCTCACAGCTGTGCAGAAAACAGAGCAGTGAATTCTCAGGCCAAGTGAACTTGTGCCTCACTCATAGAAGGACAGGCCACATGATGGGACCTGGAGGGGTATTTTTTTTTTTAAGATTTTATTTATTTATTTATTTGACAGAGAGAGAGAGTACAAGCAGGGGAAGCAGCAGCAGAGGGAGAGGGGTAAGCAGGCTCCCGCTGAGCAAGGAGCCAGATGTGAGTCTTGATCCCAGGAAACTGGGATCATGACTGGAGCCGAAGGCAATTGCTTAACCAACTGAGCCACCCAGGCGCCCCAAGGACTTGGAGTTTTTATTTTTATTTTATTTTATTTTTAAGATTTTATTTATCCATTTGACAGAGATCACAAGTAGGCAGAGAAGCAGGCAGAGAGAGAGGAGGAAGCAGGCTCCTTGCTGAGCAGAGAGCTCGATGCAGCTGGGCTTCAGGCTCTGTGGCCGCAGGCCCAGGACTATGGGCTGCTGGCAGGGGTCCAGCGGGAGAGAGGAAGCCCTTTTTTCTTCCCTACTGATGCAGCCCAAGAACTGAGGAGGAGCCAGGTGGTGGCTTGGAGCACGTCAGCCCTTCCCCGAGGGCAAAGTTCAGGGCTTGGGGCCAGGAGGAGTCCAGTGAGGGCACGGTGGAGGTATAGGTGAGGCCGAGGGTTTTGGATGGAAGCAGGAAGGGACACACATGACAAAAGCCCTGAGAAGAGGCATGGAGACAGTCTGAATAAATGCAGAGACCTTTCATACTCTGGGAGGAGGTGACCTGGTGACCTCATATAAAGATTTCACCTCTCCCCACACTAATTTCTAAAGCCAATGCAAAAACCAATGAAAATTCTAGCTACACTTTTGGGAATTCAGTAAACCTATTCTGAAGTTAAATGGAAGATTAAAAGTTTAAAATACCGGGGCGCCTGGGTGGCTCAGTGGGTTTGGCCTCTGCCTTCGGCTAGAGTCATGATCTCTGGGTCCTGGGATCAGGCCCCGCATCAGGCTCTCTGCTTGTTGGGGAGCCTGCTTCCCCCACTCTCTGCATGCCTCTCTGCCTACTTGTGATCTATGTCTGTCAAATAAATAAATAAAATCTTTTTTTTATTAAAAAAAATAAAAACTTTTTAAAAAAAAGTTTAAAATACCTACATCACACTTAAAAATGAGAAAGATTTGGGAGCCCTGGGTGGCTCAGTTGGTGAAGTGTCTGCCTTCGGCTCAGGTCCTGATCTCAGGGTCCTGAGATTGAGCCCCTCGTCGGGCTCCTGGCTCTATGGGGATTCTTCTTCTCCCTCTCCCTCTGCTGCTCCCCTTGTGTGTGTGCTCTCTCTCTCTCTCTCTCTCTCAAATAAATAAAATATTTTAAAATTTTTAAAAATGAGAAAGATAAAGGGAATTGGGAATTGGCCTACCTGATGTTTCTAAATATCTCTATGAGGTCTTGGTAAGGAAATAGGATATTTGAAATAGGAGTTCTTCTAGTAAGGAGGATAGCAGGAGGGTGGCTGTTGGGTGGGAGTTGCCTGAATTCCACCTCAGTGCTATCAAGTAGGCTGTTCAGCCCAGTGCAGACAAAAATAATTTAAAAGTAACATTGGGGGGGTGCCTGGGTGGCTCAGTGGGCTGAAGCCTCTGCCTTTGGCTCGGGTCATGATCCCAGAGTCCTGGGATCGAGCCCCACATCGGGCTCTCTGCTCAGCGGGGAGCCTGCTTCCTCCTCTCTCTCTCTCTCTGCCTGCCTCTCTGCCTACTTGTGATCTCTGTCAAATAAATAAACAAAAATCTTAAAAAAAAAAAAAAAAGTAACATTGGTATCATTTCTTCCTACAAAACAGGTTTATGGTTTATGGCAACTATTTTGTACTTTGGAGCTTCCTCTGATACCAATTTTGGCAGGTAAGTTACCATAAAGATGACAGACAGTCCTGTTTCTAGGGAATTCTTGTCACTGTTTGAGAGCAGCTGTTTCTCTCTTATTAGGGTGGGCTGTGTGTCATGGGAGTGCTGCGAAGCAGCAAGCCCTGTATTCCCCTCTCTGTAATAAGAGGGGTTGGAGAGCATCACCTGTTGATCTAGAAGAACAAGACGGTTCTGACCTCTCAGTCACATGGGGTCCCTTTTGCATCCTGGCCAAGCGGCAGCCCCACGCTCCTGAGAGCAGCAGTGTGGAACGAGCCTGTGGCATGTTCTGCACAGCAGTTGTTTGTCCTGGTGGTGTACTGTCAGTCCTCCCCCTTGGGACAGCACCTAGGACAGTCCCCCCTTGGGACAGCACCTAGGACAGGCCCTCCTCTGCCTTTGCCTCTCAGCCCCCACTTGGCCCAGGTCCTGCTGGGCACTAGGGGAGCCGAGCCCAGCCCAGTGCTCCTCAGCCTGGCTGGCCCGAGACAACTCCATCCCATGTGGCCATTCAGGGAGTGTCCCTGTGGCCCCCACCGCCACTGCTGGGCTCCAGCACTGACCCTCACAGATTGTTGGTGGAGGTGGGACGCAGCAGGCACTGTCATTATTGTCCTTGTCAGGGAGTAAGTCTTGTTCCCCGTCCCGGAGGCTTTCGTGGAAATAACTCATTGATGCAAGTTTGATCTGCTTTGGTGTTTGAATCACAGTGATGGAGAGCCACAGCATTCGGGTGAACAGAGGAGAGATGGAGAGGACTTCAGCCCTGCTGGGGGTGCGTTTTTATTTCAGAGCCAGGCTGCCTGTTAGCTCTTTCCTGCCTGTAAGTCCTTCCCCCCCGCTTCTCCGTTCCTCACTCACCTGGCTTGGATGTATGTGCAGGGGAGCACTGGGCTCTGATGAGCCTTAAACGGGCACATAGCTGGGAGCTCGCTCCGTGGCGCACACAGGATTTCATGGGTCCTCTGGCTTCTCAAAGGTCAGGTTCTTCTCACAGGGACACCACCTGTAGTTTGGTAAGGGGAGTTCATGGCTTTCTTGGGTTCTTGGTTAAAGCAAGAATAGGGCTCCCAGGTGGCTCAGTCAGTGAAGCATCTGCCTTTGGCTCAGGTCATGATCCCAATGTCCTGGGATCGGGCTCCAGGCTCCCTGCTCTGCGGGGAGCCTGCTTTTCCCTCTGCTGCTCCCCCTACTCATGCTCTCTCTCTCTTTCTCTCTCAAATAAATAAAATCGTTTTAAAAAGCAAGAACAAAATTTTAAAAAATGAATGTAAAAAATTAAAAATACAGAGGGTGCATGGAGATGCATAAAAAAATGCATTAAAATGTTTCACATAAGTTGTTTTAAGGGAAGCTCTGGTATAACCATCACCTGAGTCATAGTGTAAAATTTCCGGAAGTGCTGTGTGCCTTTTCCCCATCAGAACCCCTTCCCGCTGCCCAAAGTAACCTCTGCCCTGACTTCTGGAGTCACTACTTATTGCTTTGGTTTCCTTTCCACCTCAGTGCCTAAACCGTATGTTGGCTTTCCTTTGGAACTATGAGTTAGAGGTCATCTGATGCGCTCCCTCCGCCCCGAGTCTCAGCTCTACCACTGTCCTGTGTGGCTCGGGCTTTGTCTTCCTTTGCCCGCGTCCCACTGTGGACAGCATCTGGGGTATGGCACACTGCTCCACTGAGCATGTCTGCTGGGCCCTGGGCGCAGGATGGTCTCCTCAGCTTCAGGAAGCAGCACTGAGTTGCTTTTCAAAGTCACACCACCGGGAGCACAAATGGGATGGTCCTGCCATTGCACGGCCTCACCTACATGGGGACCCCAGGCTTTTCAGAGCAGCCATTCTGGCGGGGACATAATGGTATCTCGGTAGAATTTTGGTTTCTATTTTCCTGACTACTGATGAGATGGAATAGCTTTTCACGTCATCATTGGCTACTAGGAGTTTCTCTTTGGTAAAAGATCTTTTTTCAGGTTTCTTACCCATTTTCACATGGAGGGGTTTGTCTTTCCCTTATTAATTTATAGACATCTTGATAAACTCCAGTTACAAGCCTGTCACAAAGACCTTCTCCCTCTCTGTGTTACCTTTTTACTCTCCTCATGATGTCTTCTGACAAATAAGAAGTTCCTAATTTTTAATATAGCATAATTTACCCATCTTTGTCTTTTTGGTTAGTGCTTTCTGTGTGCGGTTTAAGAAAGCTTTCCTTACGTCAAGCTCATGAAGCATTCTCCTGTGTTATGTTTAAAAGCCATTTTTATTAGCCTTTGCATTTAGGTTTATAATCCACCTGATTTTTTCTTTTTATGTACTTTTTTAATTGAGAAAGAAGTTGCCTACAGTGAATAGTACAAATATTTTAAATTATTGTGACAAAATGTAACATTTAGCATAAAGCTTACCATCTTAGCAATTTCCGATTAGACAGTACAGTGGTATTAAATACATTCGTGTGCTTACACGGCACAACTGCCATCCATCCCAGTCACTTCGCACTCGCCCCTCCCCACCGCTCCCGACAGCCACCGTTGTGCTCTCTGTCTCTATGATCTGACTGCTCTGGGTACTTCACGTAAGTTGAATCTTTTCTTTATCTTTTAAAAGATGAAAAAAGAATTTATCTTTTTGTCACTGGCTTATTTCACTTAACATAATGTCTTCAACATTCATCCTGGTTTTAGCGTGTTGCACTTTTCTTCCTTTTCAAGGTCAGATGTATGTACCACATTTTGCTTACCATTCATCTGCCAGAGGAGGCAAGCGACCGGGTTTGCTTCCGTGTTCTAGCCATTGTGAGTAATGCTGCTATAAACACGGGTGTATAAAGAGCTCTGTGAAGCCCTGCTTTCAGTTCTTTTGAGTACATACCCCAAGACAAATTGCTAGATCTTACAGTAATTTTTAATTTTTTGAGGAACCACTGTACTTATTCCACCATTTTACACTCCCACTAAGAGTGCATAAGCGCACTTTCTCTACATCCTCACCAATACCTATTGTTTTCTCAGTTTTTTGTTTTGTTTTCTTTCTATAATAGCCATCCCAATGGGTGTGAGGTGGTATCTCAGTGTAGTTTTGATTCTCATTCCCCTAATGTTTAGTGATATTGATCATCTTTTCATGTGCTTACTGACCATCTGTGTATCATCTTTAGTAAAATGCCTGTTCAGGTCTTTTGCCCATTTTTTTTTTTTAAAGATTTTATTTATTTATTTGTCAGAAAGAGAGTGAGAGAAAGCAACACAAGCAGGCAGAGAGGCAGGCAGAGGTGGAGAGAGAGGCAGGCTCCCCACTGAGCAAGGAGCCCGATGCGGGACTTGATCCCAGGAACCTGGGATCATGACCTGAGCCGAAGGCAGCGGCTTAACCCACTGAGCCACCCAGGCGTCCCTGCCCATTTTTTAACTGGGTTGTTAATTTTTTCTTCTTGTTGAGTTTTAGGAATTCTCTATATACTCTGGATAGTAATCCTTTTCAGATATATGATTTTTAAATATTTCCTCATTTTTATGGGTTGCCTTTTTACTCTGTTGATAGTGTCTTTTGATGCACAAAATTTCTAAGTTTTCGTAGTCCAATGTAAAATTTTTTTCTTTTGTTACCTGTGCCTTTGTTGTCATATCCAAGAAATAGCTGTCGAATACAATATTGTGAAGTTTTTCATCCTGTGTCTCCTTCAAAGAGTTTTATTGTTGTAGGTCTTACATTTAGGTCCTTGATACCTTGATACCTTGATTAGGTCCTTGAGTTAATTTTTATAAATGGTGCAATGTAGGGGTCCACCTTCATTTTTCTGCATGCGAATGCTCAGTTTTCCCAGCACTATCTGTTGAATAGACTGTACATTCTCCATTGAATGTTCTTAGCATGCTTGTCCAAAATAATTTGACCATATTTGCAAGGGTTTATTTCTGGGCTCACGACTCTATTCTCTTTGTCTCTATGTCTCTCCTATGCTAGTACACACTGTTTTGATTAGTGTAGCTTTGTAGTCAGTTCTGAAATCAGGAAGTATAGGGCCTCCACATATGTTCTTTTTTCAAGATTGTTTTGGCTATTTGGGGTCTCTTGAGATCTTTTATGAATTTTAGGATGCATTTTTCTATTTCTGAAAAAAAGGTCTCTGGGATTTTGATAGGAATTACATAGAATCTGTAGATCTCTTTGAGTAGTTTTGGTAAGTCTTCCAATCCACGAACATGAGATGTATTTCCATTTATTTATTTATTTTTAAATTAATTTCAGCAGTGTTTTGTAGTTTTCACTGTATGAGTCCTTCACCTTCTTTGTTAATTCCTAAATATTTTATTCTTTTTGATGCTACTATGAATAGAATTGTTTTTGTAATTTCCTTTTCAGATTGTTCATGTGTAGAAATACGGCTAATTTTTGTGTGTTGATGTTGTATCCTGCTACTCTGCTAAGTTCCAAAGTTCTAACAGTTGTTTGGAGGTTTTTTTGTTTTTTTGTTTTTTGTTTTTGTTTTTTTAGGTGTGGACTCTACACATAAATGGTGAGTTTTCTATACATAAAATTATATCGTCTGCAGAGATAAATTTACTTCTTCTGTCCAATGTGGATGCCTTTTTTCTTGCCTAATTGCTCTGACCAGAACTTCTGGTACCATGTTGAATAGAAGTGGTGAAAGCAAACAGCCTTGCCTTGTTCCTCATCTTAGAGGAAATGCTCTCAGTCTTTCTGTGGGTTTTCTTTTCCTTTTTTTTTTTTTAAAGATTTTATTTATTCATTTGACAGACAGAGATCACAAGTAGGCAGAGAGGCAGGCAGAGAGAGGAAGGGAAGCAGGCTCCCTGCTAAGCAGAGAGCCCGACGTGGGGCTCGATCCCAGGACCCTGAGATCACTACCTGAGCTGAAGGCAGAGGCTTTAACCCACTGGGCCACCCAGGCACCTCTCTGTGGGGTTTCTTATATGGTTTTTATTATGTGGAGGTAATTCCCATCTGTTCCTAGTTTGCTGAGTTTTTTTTTTTTTTTTTATCATGAAAGGGTGTTAAATATTGTCAAATGATTTTCGACATGATCCTCTGTTTTTTTTTTTTTTTCTCCCTCCTTGTGTTGATGTGGCATATTACATTGATCAGTTTCCATGTATGGACCCATACTTGCATGCCAGGAATAAATCCCACTTGGTCATGGTATATAGTCCTTTTAAAATGTTATTACTATGTTGTTAAGGATTTTTACATCGATATTCATAAGGGTTGTTGGTCTATCTTTTTCTTGTATCTCTGTCTGGCTTTGGTATCAGGGTAATGCTGCCCTCAGAATGAGTTAGGAAGTGGTCTTCCATCCTCTCCATTTTTTTTTGAAAAGTTTGGGAAGGATTGGTGTTGGTTCTTCTTTAAATGTTTGGTAGAATTCACCTGTGAAGTTAATGATCTAGGGCTCTTCTTTGTTGGGAGAAGAATTATTGATTCAATCTCCTTATTAGTTTTAGGACTATTCAGATTCTATTTCTTGGTGATTTAATCTTGATGGGTTTTGTGATTGTTGATTGAACTTTTATCTGTTTCATCTAGGTTATCCAATTTGTTGGTGTATAGTACTCTTTTGTAATTCATGGTACTCTTTTGTAATTCTTCTTATTTTTGTAGAACAATGTCCCCACTCTCATTTCTGATTTTATTACTTTGAGTTTTCTCTTTTTTTTCTTAGTCTACCTAGTGAAAACTTGTCAATTTTTAAAAAAATTTTTTGAAAAACTAACTTTTGGTTTTATCAGTTTTCTCGATTGTTTCCCTATTTATTTCATTT